GGCTCACTAACCCATATATTTTTAATTTTTTAAAATTATATAGAAACTTATATTTTCTTTTTTTCCTTCTCAACATCAGTATTTTCGTTATTAACTCGAAATTGGCTCATTGGGTTTTTCATTAATAATAAAATTATTATCAATACAATTTATATTGACACTTTGATGTATTGTTTTAGATTCCATATTGTAAATTAATTAAAAAAAAGAAGTTAAAAATTCATATATTAAAGAGATATACGTATAAATCAATAATAAATAATATATAGATACTACAATTTTCAAATAAAGATTCATCAATCCAATAGTTTAGGTTATGAAACAAATTCTTACCTTTGAAAGCAATACAGTGGACATAGTGTAGTGGTACGGTGGACAGATAATAAGACAAGTAAGTGCAGCGACAAACGTAATGGTGCAGCGAATAACTGATAACAAGTTGGATTTGGTTTGTAGCGACAACCAACAATGTAGAATAGAGGTAAGACATGATAACATCAATTAGGGTTACTAAAATATTATAATTATTTTTAAAATTTAAAATAAATGATTAATTAGGTTAGTATATTATTATAATTATTTTTAAAATTTAAAACTAATGGTGGGTTGCGGACCAACCCACATAACCCGACTTGAACCCGTAGATTAAGTGAGCTGGATTCATTTTTAACCCATAATCAATAAAAATAAAAAAATTGAACACAACCCGACTCGAACCCGTAATAAACCGAATTAATTCACGGTTAAAACTCATATTCACACTTCTAACTATATCATATAATAAAGCTTAACTTCTTTTAAAAAAAAATTCAAGAATTATTTTTTCACTATGATCAAAATACTACTTAGTATAATAAAGAATAGAAGTTGGAAATCAATCTTGCAACACCACCATGAGTTGTTAGTAAGATTTATTGAACAAAGAGCATGTGGTTTTTATTTTTATATTTTTTGTCTTTGGATAATATTTGGGTCCCCACAAAAGAATATAGCATGAGGACATGTAGCTCCAAAACTAGTTAAGACACTTGACGATTTTGACAACCACTAGAAGCAAAATCAAAATTCAATCAATGATATTGATAGACACTATAATAACTCAAGAGTTCCAACTTTAACGAAAAGGACTGTTTGGTAAGTTCCAATTGAAAGCTACAAAAATGGTCCTCTCTAATTTTTCTCATCAAAATTTATCACTAGCATCAAACACATGCACAGTCGTTTATTTATTTATATTATTTATTATTATTATTATTATTATTATTATTATTATTATTGGTTGAAACTTATTAAAACTAATGGTTTTGATGTATTTTATTTCTTATTTTTCTTATTTTGATGGGTCTTTGTAAATTTAAACGGATAAAATATATGTTTTTTAATAAATAAATTAATCTAATATTTTTTTTATCATTTATAAAGTTAAAATCCAAACTATTATTTAAGTAAATCTAACTCAATACTAATTAATTAAAGTGAACTAAAATTGTTAGTTAAGGATTGACGACACTAATCTTCATCATAGTTTTAGGTTAAATAATATATTATTAATAAAAAAAATTATAAATATATAAATAGATATATTTAATTATCATAAAAATCATAAATATATATATACAAATTCTTTACAAGATATGGTTCTTCACCTCCTAACCAAACTATTATGTTATGTGATGAAATGAGTTTATGCTTCTTAAAATTTAGTTACAAAGCGATTTTAATATCTACATTTAATGAATAATTTGATTTTTTTTCTTGGTTTTAAATATGGTGGACTTTTGTTTTTGGTCATAAATCAGGTACCAAAAAAATCCACATTTTAGAAGTACAAAATATTTAAATAGAGTTGACAAATTGAATTTCAACAGCTAAATTTGAGTGAAAAATCTAATCAGGTTGAACTTGTGAAACTAAAATTCAATGACCTAGTACAATGTTAGACCAACATGGCCTAATTAAAAAAAAATAATATATATTCACTACAAATTTAATCATAAGAAGATAAAAAATTATCAAACTTAAACATTAGATATATATAGCCAAGCCAAACAAATTCAATTATTTTTGGGTCTTATCTTTTTAAAGTTTAGTTTGACCCATGGAGTCCATTAGCCAATAAATCTGATTTTTTTTAAGATTGTTATTAAAAATCCAACTCCACCTTAAATTTTTTTGTTCAAATTCAAATTATATATTCTAATTAAATATTATCTTTAAATATATATACACACACTAAAACTCATTAAATTAAACTCATTTTCCCAAGTTATATTTTGCTCAATGTCCATCTTAAATACAAGATCAACCCAATTGAAGAAGCAGAGCTGAGAATTATTATTGTTTCTTAAATAGAAAGAATCCAAGAATGATGATTTTTCCATGCACAAGTTTTTTTGTGAACTTAATGGAATTTAAGTTAAGGTAAATGATGTTGACAAGTAGAAGAAGCACATTGGTGTGGTAAAAGCTACAAGGTTTTAATATTTTAGTCATTGCTAACTAATTTGGCCTCTTACTAAGAATGTGATTTCATAAATAAATGTAAAAAAAAATGTCATTATTTTAAAGAGGTGCTTCCTAGAAGGAAGCAAGGGGCAAAGTCAAAAGTAATATGGATGAAAAAAATTTATTTTTTATTTTTTATTTTCCTTTTTTCTTTATTTTTTGGTTATGGGAAAGCATCTTGTGGTACCCATTTAGGCCATGATGGTAGAAACCCCATTGCAAATCCAATTCTAAAATGATCACAATGTGACGAAGTAAGAGCTATCTAAAATGACCACATTTACCACAACTTTGCTGTGTGCTTTCTTAAAAGAACCCTAATCCCTAGAAACCCTTTCTTATTATTCAACACTAAAGAGAAACCTCAGATTAGGTAAGCTCTATCATCATCAACAACAATAACAAAAACAACTTTATCATGTCCTCTCCTTAAACTAATTAAAGATTTTGATCCATTTTATGAACATGATGAATGCCCTAAAAATCTCATCCACACAAATCACAAATCTAATTAACACCCAAAATCAAGCATGCACTAAAGATGCAAGAGGGTCAATGAGATTATTTGATATGCTTAATCAAACCACTCATTTTGGAACAGTGTCACTTGCATAGGATTCTAATCATCTAATGTACTTGCCTTAATTATTTCCACTTTTAATAATCTGAGGAGTGTTATGACCTTGGCCCTAGTGTGCAAGGGCAAGCTAAAGTGGGTGGGGCATAGAAGAAGATTAATGCAAGAGTGGCAGAGGGTGTAAAAGGTACTTGGGACTAGTAAGGTTAGAACAAGATTCATTTTAATTTGTCACCATCTATCAATTTGTGCAATAGTATTTTATACCCTTTTTTTTAAAAGCAAAGTATTTTCATGATAAAAATAATAAAACTAAGTTCTGAAAAAATATCACCAAAATGAAAATTTCACAACTTTTTTGTGTATCCCATGATCTTAAGTATTGAAAAGATTTTTCTTTTATAAGGGTAAGGCAGCTTTAGACTAGTTAGACCATTTGACCCACCCATGTACCATATAACACGCTTGTGTTTATGACTTTTGTGTATGGGGCTTAGTGGAGAAAAACTATTGAGTTGAAATCTAGGAACCACAAGAAGTGAAAAGGAGTACGACTCTTTCTTTTTTTTAAGATATTTTGAGTGCAGTTTTAAAGTAATTGTGTATAAAAAATATCTAACTTAATGATTTATGGTGAATATATTACAATCCAGACTCAAAAGTTTAACCTTTTATTCCTTAAAGAATAATTACATGTTTTTGGATATTTGAACATACATCACCCTTAAAGCCAGTGTTTCTTATTTCAGCCTAATTTGCATATTTGAATGTGAATTTAGGTGAGAACTTAGATTTTGATGCAGTTCTAAACACAAGAAAAACAAATAATCCAACCCGAATTTCTTGAGAATGTTTGAGAAATGATAGGAACAATACAAAAAAGAAAAAGGTAATTTGGAACACAAAACAAGAATTGAGTCAGAAAAAGCTTCCTATTCTGCTAAAGATTTCAGATTCTGGAGTAACAAGATGCGGCATGTTACATTAGTAATTTCATCGAAATTTTGTTGAACTTTTAGCTATCAATAAGTTCAACTTCTGCACCCCATGTGTTTGACAGTTTAACATTAATGTAAAAAAAAAATGACATGCAAATATTAGGTACTAAGAATAAAGCCCTTTTGGTATAACTCACCAAAAATTAGGTATATCCATCCAACTGCATAAGAGATTGAACAACAAAAGCATAGAAGAACCAACTAAACTAACCCAAATAGGAAAACAATAGCTGCATCAAACCACCACTACACCATCTTCAAAGCTACAACTTGCACCAAAATAGAATCTTCACTCACAGCACAAAAGGGCCATACAATGGAAAGCACAAAAATCCAAAACACAACAAGTCACAAGTCACGTTTGTCCTTGTGTCAAATGTTAACCCCTCTCATTCACTCACAAAATTATTGGAATCTCATGATTTCATTTTCACCTAAGTAGTAGCTAAATCACAAAATATTTAGAGTTTCTCATTGATGAAAAAAGAAGTAAATAAACTACATAATAGTCCCTAACAAAAAAGCTAAAACAAAAACCTACTCCTCAATCCTCTTTCTAACTTCTAAATATCATTCTTTTTTTTCCTTCATACTTTATACACAAGTTCTTGTTTCTAAACAGAGAAGAAAAATGAGCAATTACAAACGTTAAGAACCAAGAAAATTCATCCCTCTAGAAATAAAGCAAACAATTTCAATTATTCATGAATTCTCAGACACATACACAGTCTTTCATGTATGTGCACATAATAAAACAAACACATACATAATTTGTATGTGCATGTAATTTCTTCATAAACAATTGAAATCACTTACTTTATCACCAGTATAGAAATTGAATTTTGAGTTCCAAATAGAAGTAAACTACCCATATCTTTCTCTTCTAAGATCTTGTTTGTTGTTAGTTGAATGAAGTGGCATCATTTGGCTTCACGGAGCTTGAATACACTTTCCAAATCAGGTGGTGTGAAGAACTCCCTCACACTGCCATTAGCACCATTACACTTTGACGGAGGTCGACACTTCCGAGGTGCCGGAGGACAAGACAAATTTTCGGGTATCCTTGATTCTTTAGCTGTCGGGGTTGTGCAGAGTCCATCTTCATTGTCATTGTTGTTGTCGCAACCACCAACGCGCTTTGTGTTGATCGGTTTGAGAGACCGAACTGCTATTCCTGCAATTACCCACTTCTTGGATTCAGATTCCAAGTCTGAATGAGAGAACCCCATGTTGGAAAAAAGAGGGAAGAGAAGAACCTTGTGTGAAAGGTTACAGCTTTTGGGTAAACAAGAGGAGGAAGAGGGAATAAGAGAAAAGGCTTTTTCAGTTTTTGAGAGAACTGAAGAAACGAAGTAAGAAAGGGGAGAGGAATAATAACCAAAAGGCGTGTGAGAGCTCTTAGTTTAAGGTTTTTCAAGTGGGAAAATATGAATTTTCCTAGAAAAGAAAAGAAGAGGAGAAGAGAATGAGAGAGAAGGAGGGGTGCCCGGGGTTTTTACGGGCAGAGTGAAGGAGAAATTTTGGCGCCAAAATTTCACTGGTTTAGGCAGCAACGGCTCTTTTTCCCGCCTTTGGTTTTGGAGTGAATTTTCCGTTTTGTCCTTCTATTTGATTTAATTTAATTCAAATTATTGAATAAGTTTCTCGGGAGTAGTGTTTGTTTTCGCTGACAGTGTGGGCACGAAGATCGGCGTGAGTGGAAATTGGACCAGACGACATCGTTTTTGTTGGTGACAAGGAAACGTATCTTATGATTCGAGTGATATATTAGTTAATAATAAACTAAATTACAATTTTTAATTCTTCCCTACTTTTCAATCAGTAATTTTGGGTATTTTCTTGTACAGATGAGTTCTTTAAATTTTGATCATTTTAGATCAGATTTAAAAATTTTACAAACATTTGTTGTATATATTTTAATTAATTTTTTATATACATTAAATGAGTATTTTTTTAGCTATGACAAAAAGTTAATAAGAGGTTTGAGTTCACTTTAAAATATATAATTAAAATTAAATTTATAAATTAATTAATTTAAATCTGGTTTTGTGAGATCAACAAAGACGAGATGATAGATTTTAGTACTGAACTGCACGTGTTCCTGTCAACCAACTAGGAAATCCAATCACTCATTCAAAACAAAAAGATCACGTCTCAAATAATAATAACGAAAATATATTATAACCATATAATATAAAAATAAAAAATACATAAATTATATTATAATTAGCAATGTAACAAAATACAAAATAAAATAAGACAAAGTATCTTTCATGAACTAAAAGAATAATATAAATATTAATATTTTAACTTATTCAAATAAAATATAATAAAAAATAAATACATAAGAATACAAATATTTTAATAATAATAATAAATAATACAATAGTTAGTTAAGATATGAATATTTCAATTTTCAGAATAATGAATATAATTAAATAGAAAATAAATTAAAATTTGATAGGAAATTTTTTTTTCATGTGAAACATTTTTAGTTAAGATTTGGCGGAGATAATATTTGTTGTTGTGATAATATCATTAGTTAATTCATAATATCAGATGAGATATTTTATTTTTTTGTTTAATTTCATAATTTTATTTTTTTATTAATTAAATTATTTTTTAGTTGTGATATTGATATTTATACTTTTTGATATAATTTTTTAAAATAAAATATATCTTCAATTATATTGTAATTTTGTTATATTAATTTATAAATTAAAGGGAATAATAGAAAATCGTTGTTTACGCAGATAATTGTTATTAGATTATAGATTATTTGTTGATTTGATAATTTATTTTGTATTAAAAAATTTACATCTGTATAGTTAGGAAAAATATATAAGTCCATCTTAACAAAAATCCAAATATATCTTATTTAATAAGAATATTTAAAAAATATATATATATATATAATTTACTTATTAATTTTTGTGTGATTTAAAAAAAAACTTTTTATTTTTAATTTATTAAACTTTAGAAATTTCATTTTATTTGTTTTTATTTTATTTTAGATTACCACGCATGTTTGTCCACAACTTTCTTCGCCTATGTAATCATCACCATTAAACATCTTTTTCACAAATGATATATGATACAAACTATTTGGATGACATGAATGTCATATCAAACGTATTGTTACAAACTTTGAAGTAAAAGTAGAAATCATGATGAATTTAATGAAATGATTTTTAATAGACATATACACAATAAATGAATAAAAAATCTTATGTTTTATAAAATAAAAACACAAAAAAATATTTCCAAATTTTAATTTTTATAATTTTTAAAATCAATATACTTTTAATTTTATCTTTTATTTTAAAATAAAACAATAAATATTATTCATCAGGTTAAAACTGAAATATGCCTTAAAATCTGGAACAAAATAATAAAATTAAACAATATATAAATAAAAAAATTCACAAATATAATATTTAAAATAAGTTATATATATATATATATATATATATATATATTTTTTTTTGTTTGTGATGTTTTTATTAGTGTTATGACTGTCAAATTATTTTAATTATTTGTATTTATGATTTTGATTTTTTAATATTTAATTTTATAAAAACTTAAATAAAATATTATTAAAAAAATGTAAATTATTTAAATTTTTATCATGAATATTTTTAAAAACAAATAAATATGTATTAAAAAAATACATAATAAAATTTTATTAAATAAAAAATAAAATTATATTCTTCCAATTTTTTATATATTTTTATGCTTTTCATTTTTATAACTTAATAGTTATAGTTACATAATAATATATTATTTTGATTTTGATAAATATATATATATATATATATATATTATTTATAAGTATTAAATAATTTAAGAGTCAATATAATTTTTATATATTTTTATTTTTTAATTATTAAAAATAAATAAAGTTTAAATTAATCAATATCTAATATTTAATAATAAATCTTAATAATAATATAATAATAAATATGAGGATAATAAAACTTAATAATAATATATAGAATACAAGAGAATAATATCTCTACTTAAAAATTAATTATTTTTTTATCATTTTTTTTATAAAAAATATTTTTTTAATTTTAAAAAATCATAAAAAATATTTTTTAATAGTATAAGAAAATTGTTTTTCAAAATAAATATATATATTATGGATCACACGCAATATCTGAAACAGTTCCTGCATGCAGAACAGAGTGCTGACAAAGGAAGAAGGTGACTAGTGGTGGTAGAGGAAACAATAGGCTGAGAAGCTATGCTTGCATTCAATGACCCTAAACTCTTCCTCACATAATAATTGGGTTTAACTTTTTATTTATTTATTTATTTAAATTTCAAGTAGGTATGTTCCACACTGTTGTATTTAACATTTTCTTGAATCTTAGGTATCTGTTCAATAATTTTGTCACCACAAAAACATGTTCTTAAATTCAACATAAATGTATTCATAAACTATTTTTAACCTTTATTTTAGATAATATACAACACATAGAACATTAATTAAAATACAATAATCTATATTTAAACTATTAAAACACATAAGTTTAAAATAATTACCAATAGTAAAAATTGCTTTTATTTAAAAAAAACTGCTTGAAGCACGATTTTCTTTGAAATTATATTTCATAATATTATTATAGTTTTCTTACTAACACCAACTAAAAATTAAATATTATTTTTCAAAACTTAAATAATAATAATAATTATTATTATTATTTGTATTATCATGTTTTATTATATTGTTGATTTCTTATTTTTGAAGTATTTTTTTAATCTTTCCAAAATAAAAAAATTATGTTTTTTATTCTTAAACACTAAAATTGAAAATTAAAAAACCCTAAAATCTAAATATTAATTCATTAAATTTGTTTTTAAGCATTAAAATTATAATTTTTTTAAATTCAGAAATAAAAAATGCAAATCTTTATTATCATCGAATTCATTTTATAAATAATTTTTTACCATGAATCTATGAATTTCAATTATGAATATATTGAAATCATATTTTAAAAAATTGATATCAAATATTGGATTCATATTTTTAAAATCTTATTCTAAACATATATTTGAATTTGGGGAAACATTTGAATGGAGAGAAATTAATATAATTCACTATTTAATAATTGTACCTACTTAAAATTAAATATTATAATTATCGGAATATTTAAATTAAATATATGGATAATAACACTTCAGTATATTCGAGTACCCGATTTGATTAAATACTCCATTTAACTGAGTATTTTATAAATTATATCAAAATACTTTGAATAGATAAAAGATAAATATCTCTAATAGACACAGTTTTCTGTTCCTGTATAAATAATTTCACTCTTATCACTCAATTTACTTAAAATTTAATTGCTCCATCTTCCATGTTTATAACAATACATCAAAACCAAAGGGAATCATGAGATGAAAAATAACAAGAATTAAACATAGTGAACAGTAGTGGTAGAAGGTCGCAGATTCAAAGCGAATTTGATCTGCTTGCCCCTCAAAGACCTAGATGTGATCCTAGGTATGGACTGACTAGTCCAAAATAAGATTTTGATTGACTGTGGGCAGAAGAGACTGTTGTTTCCTGAGTCGGAGGAATTTGAGATGTTGTCCATCTCCCAAGCTTTGAAGGAGATCCAAGAGGGAGCCCAATGTTATGTTATCCTAACTCATATGGGACAACCAAGCGAAGATGTTAGATCAGAAGTTCCAGTAGTGAATGAATACGCTGATGTATTCCCAGATGAAGTGCCGGGGTTACCTCCTAGGAGGGAGGTCGAGTTCTCCATAGACCTTATACCTGGAGCAGGGCCAGTGTCTATGGCGCCTTATAGGATGGCTCCAACTGAATTGGCTGAGCTAAAGATGCAGATTGAGGGGCTGTTGGACAAGAAATTGATCAGACCTAGTGTGTCCCCTTGGGGAGCACCAGTGCTGCTTGTTAAGAAGAAAGATGGGGGCTACAGACTGTGCATTGACTATAGGCAGTTGAACAAGCTTACAGTCAAGAATATATATCCCCTCCCCCGGATAGATGACCTATTGGATCAGTTGCACGGTGCAGTAGTAACAAAAAGCCCTGAGGATAAGAAGGTTACTTTTGCTGTATATCTATTAGCAGGGGAGGCTGAATTTTGGTGGAAAGGAACCAAGAGGCTGATGATTGCCAGAGACGAAGCTATCAGTTGGGAAAGCTTTAGAGAGAAGTTCATGGGAAAGTATTTCCCACGCAGTGCACGATTTGCTAAGGAGGCGAAATTTCTGAAGCTAGAGCAGGGAGATCTATTAGTGCATGAGTATGCTACCAGATTTGAGCACCTGGCCAGATACTATTCTCAATCGAGCACTGAGGCATGGCTATGCAGCAAATTTGAGGAGGGTCTGAGACAGGAACTAAAGGAGTTTGTGGTGCCAATGTTTGTGGCTGATTTTCCTGTTCTGGTTGAGAGGGCTAAGACTGCAGAGAGACTGGTGGCAGGTAGAGTCAAGTCAGTTGTGCCATCGGTATCTGGACCCTCAAGTAGCAAAGTGGAGTCTTCTAGCAGAGTTGGGTCCCATCCCGGCAGTAGGAGGCCAGAAAGAAGGACCCCGTATACTCGCCCTTTTCCAAGGAGGGAATTCGCTCCTACTTCTCACCAGTCAGGTGGGGGCAGCCAGTGTAGAGGGAGGAGCTCACCTTCCTTCCATCCTCAGCAGATCCGAGCTCCTATTAGATGCTACAGGTGCCAGAAGTTTGGGCATTTTGCCAGAGACTGTAGAGAGGATTTGTCTGTAACTCCATCTGGGAGCCAACCGACTGGGGGTCAGAGAATGGAGATCAGACCGAGAGCAGCTGGCAGGGTCTTCACCATCAAGGGAGCAGAAGCAGAGAAGTCCAGTGATCTAGTCCAAGGTTCGTGTTTCCTCTTTGGTCACAGACTGAAAGTTTTGTATGATTCTGGAGCGACACACTCCTTTGTGTCACTTGATTGTATTGAGAGACTAGGTTTGTCTGTTAGGGACCTTATCTCGTGAGTTGTTCGTGTCTACTCCAACGAATCGATCGAAAGGTGAAATAATATATTATTAATAAATAATAAATAATTATAAAAAGTAGTAACGAAAAAGTAAAAAGAAAAAATTGTAAATATATATTTAAATATATTAAATAATTATTAAATTTGAGAGGATAAAATCATAAATTATATAAAAATTATAAAATTAAGAAAAAATTAAAAAAACAAAATTATAAATATATAAATAAATATAATAAATGTTAATTAAGTTTGAGTGATCGAAATTATAAATTAAAATTTATAAAGTTTTAAGAGGTTACCGTACCGTCAATCCCCAATAAAATGAAAGAGATAATGTATGAGTAAAAGTAAATGGTCCATGAAGTTTGATATTATGACGTAGGAGGTAGCCACATAGCCCCCACCTAATTGATTTGGTACTCTTAATTATAGACCAAATATATGACACTGGCATAGTGTACCAATCAGTGGGGTGACTTTAAACAAATAAATACACACACTGTGCAGAAATAATGTTTGTGATATGTTGTAACATGTTATTTACTGTTATTTAACATTTTAGGTAAATTTTACAATAACTCAATCAATAATATATGGCCAACGTACAAGCTACTCAAGCCTAAGGTAAATAATATATATTTAACTAGTGGTTTTTTTTTTTCTACATTTTTAAAGTAAATTATATCCATATGTTATGGAGATTCTCTTATTAATTACAATTTTTTTTTAGAAATGTGTATATGTAACGAAAAAAGGAAGGGTGTGTAATGTATTTAAAGAGTGATGCATGTGTAATATTTTTGAATGATAAAATAATATACAATCAGTTTGTTGGTATATATTTTATTTCATAAAAAAACGGGGGTAAGACGTTATGAATTTTAAAATATTTTGATAATTTTTTTAGAAAAAAATCAGTTTATGTGTTTTTATAAGCAACTTTATTTTTTTATTATAAAAAATATGAAATTTTATGTAAGAATTACTTAATTAGGATATTGATATAACTTTTTAAAATAAATGAGAAATTTGTGTAAATTTTTCAAAAATTAGGATATCGGTGTAATTTGAGAAAATTGAGAAAGTGTTATATATTTTTTCTCTATTTTTTTTATTGATGGCCTTGATGTTTTATAAGGGTCGTAGCAAATTTTTAATTGAGTTTAATTTTATTTTAATTATATTTGTTTTACAACAATATAAATTTGGGCCAGGAATTAGGCCCATTTTCCTTGTAGCCCACAACAGATCAATACATATTTTAGCAAAGTTTTAAGCAATTATTTAACTGATCCAATTTAAAAATATATTGACTCGTATAATGGGCCCGTGTGAGTGGATTATTCAATATGTTAGAAACTTGGAGCAAACATGTAACAATGGTATTTTATTTTTGGTCAATTTATTATTTTTGCCCTGATCTTCGGCTAGATCTTATTCTGATTCTAAATGCAAAAAAAAAAAGAAAAAGTGTCTTAAGTTTGTAATCAAGTAAACCTCTGTTTTTCAAACAAACTTTCTACATAGAATTATCATTTTTTGTACTGCTTAAAAATAATAAAGTATATTTTATTATATTTTTTCTCATTTTATTCAACACGGAAACTCCATCTAGCGTTCCATGCAACGACTTACCCTTACAGTAATGACAGTTGGTTGCCAGACTTAACCATCACAAATTATCTTTTCAACCACATTGTTGGGGATTAATCGACCATGAAAAAAAAAAAATACAAAAATCCCAAACTCGAAAGGGAATAATCATACTGCAAGTAATCATGAGTATAATTTTAATGTTAAATAGCTACAAATGTACCTGTAACTGCATATAAATGTAAATAAGCGAAAACAAAATTGGAAGTAAATAGGGGAAAACTGCTCTCGGGCATAAGTAAACTATAATGGCTATTAGCCTGGTAATATGTTTACTATAGTGGTTCTCTTTGCCAACACATGAATAACTAGTTTATAGCCAACGTATTTGCTGACATGTATGGTGAGATGCATCCCTGAACCTGCAAAGAAGCAATTTTTTATATAAGAAACATATATTGATTAATCACCACATGGGGAACCAGAAATAATAATTAAACTACTACTACTACTACTAATAATAATAATAATAATAATAACAATAATAAAATATTAAGAATCGTGTTAAATATCTGAACTTATCACTCGTTTATAGAATTGGTCAAGTACTATTTGCACGTCAGCAATAAAGAATAAACCGACTACTACAAATAAACAGATCAAGAAAGATGTTTAAAGATAATTTAAATATTTCATAATTGTTTTCTAATACTCCACCTGCTTAAAAGTAATAAACACCACAAACATTCGACAAAGAACTCCAGTTTAACTTGCACATGAACACAGGCAACTAGCACTCCCCACAAAATTACAAAACCTTCTATGAATGTACAGAGCCAAACAAACTCCATCTGAACTTTTAAGACATCCAAACAGCCATATAAAAAAGAAGAAACTGCAACCCATTTTGGTATGAAGCTATCACCAATAAGAGAAGCGGGAAACTCAGCACCACAGAAAATCCTAAATAACCAAAAGCACATGGACAACAAAGAATCTTTGCGACACTCACTGCCAGAGCATATTGGTTAATACTAAAATCACTAGTCAAAGGTGGCTCCACCTCGTTACATTCATCCTAGATAAGAATATTTGACTGAACAAATTCTAGCAACTAGTAAAAAGACTGAACAGCAGAAAGAAAGGAGATTGAATATACTTTAACATATTACATTTCTATAAGATTATGTTAAGAAGAAAGCAAAAGAATGTAAACTATCTTGCCTGCAACAAACAAGAGGGAATTTGGATATAACCCTGTAGCAAGAGGTTGACTTTTTCCAAGGAACTATGTGGCACAGGAGTAATGACATGGAGGACACCTTTTACTGTGTCAACGCCCCTCACAATCCCTGAAGCATGAGAAATCAAGATGTGTTCAACAAAAAAAATGCTTAGAATTATCAAAATGCATAACTACTCAGCTAGAACAATAGCTTTTTTGATTTGTGACCATCAAGAATACACTTGTTCTATTCTTTATCTTCAACATTTGTGGAAGTATGATGGCCTAAATAGGTACAGATCTCTTAAGATATACTACACCTGAGAAGTTAATGTAAAGGTAATAGACACTAGTAAACTTACAACCAATAGATAGACATACAAGATAAGCTAACTCACAAACGCACATTAGTTCATAGAATTTTTGTTTGACAAAATTTGAAACTAGTTAAGCTCAAAAATTTAATTTCTTCCCAAAAGAATTACAATTCCCAGTTTGTTTACTGAGAATTTGAAGTTTTCTTCAAGACTTGAAACACACAGAATGGATATTTTTCAGCTAGTTTCCAATACTACTGCAACTCAATAGCTTTTTAATCTGAAATTTCAAATTTGCAGTAGTATTTCAGTGAAATGATCCTCTGTTTCAGAACAGGACATAATGAAATATGAAGTTAGTCAAATGACCTACCAAGGCCCAGACACCAAGGTAAATTATCAGGTCCTTCAGAATCAACAGCTAAGCCAACGATGGTAGCATTCAAACTGAAGAATAGTTCAGAGCTTGGGACCTGCAAAGATACTGGTACATCATAAACAAAAATGTCCTGCTTACCTTTGTGTAAATAAAATAGATATATGAAATATTGTCGAAATTCCTAACAAGAAAACAACATATTTAATATTCATGTTTATATAAAAAAGATTTGCAGATCAAGTGGGATTAGAATTAAAAAATAGACCAAATGCATCAAAACCAAACTTATAAAGGGCAACTCAGTCAAAAGACTCTACTGTTGTGGTGTCTGTGAAGGGTTAGATGTACACAACTTTAACTTCTAAACCTGATGGTGTGATGCGACTCACAAGCAGAACAGGTAGCAAGTTAAATTTAAGCCAACCTCACAATGAAGATGTCGAATGTTTATGCTTGCAATGGGAACTTCATAAGGACAGTGAGAGGCCAAGGCATGTGCAAGTTCCTTGATCGTAGAAATATTTGAATCATTAGAAAAGCACTGTTTGAAGTAAGCCATAATTCGTAAATCACGTAAGGGTCGTGCATCCTTCTGAAAGAGTATCCTGGTAACATATAGGGATATTATGTTACTTAAAGCATAGAGATGGAAACAGAAGGACCAACTACCAATTGCAATTTTCTATCAGATTTGAACTTACGATCTATTTAATGAATCCCGACGAGCTGAATTTATCTCAATCAGATTAATTGTTTCATCATGTTCTTCATCTAACCAGAATTCTCCAGCAGGTAGATTCTTATTTTCACTGGATATGCTTATCTTAACTACATGTGTTGGAGAAATATATTTCAACATGTCCACTAATACATCATAACCAACACCTGAAATGCAAGAGAAAATAAACCATGGAACAAGTACCATGATGGATGATATGTTGCTACAATTTAGAAAAGAAACACTTTTAAGTACAAATGCAGAATTAAAAAGAATCAGACTAACAGCTGAAAAAAGTGAGTTTACCTTTCACCCAGCCAGGAGTATTCACAATAAGTGGCAACTTGATATTAGAAGGATTTTCTCCCTTTTTAGTGATGCAATACTCCTTTTGGAAATAATCATAAATGGCAAATACATAACTTAAGTATGTTGATGGATCTCTCTTACAAGAAACGTCACCAAAGAAAAGACACCTGTAACAGTAAATGACAGATAGCCAAGCAAGTCCATCAAGTGTTTAATCACATATTACCTGAGTTGGCTGACACATACAGGGTTGAACACAAAGATCCAACACACAAAACATCTCATCTAATTCTGTCTACAAAAATTTCACAGCAATGAGAAAAGACACCGATCCCAACCGCTGCAACCCCCCAAAAGAGAGAGCCAGTAACCTGGACCCTAGATTTTTACAGTATCTTAAGAAAAAGGAACAACAATGTATAGAACAAAATCATATGAAAAATATCAATGTGTAATATTTGTTGCATTTTGAGTAATCAGAGATCTGATTTCAATCCAGAAAGCATGAAATACGTATACAACCAAACTAACAAAGGAAGAATACAACATGCCAAAACAACATACTCCAATTCACCTGACTACTGTATAGGTGTTAAATGCTGTCACAAATCAACAGCCTTGTCATATATTTCAAAGTCAAAGCAACATAACAATTTAAAAAACACTGATTCAGCTACCCAAATTTTCGAGATGAGATAGAACAATACCTCTCTGGTGTTTTCAGGCATGGAACTGTCAAATCTAAAATAATTAAAAAAATTAATAATTTTTTAAATAAACTATAAAAATACTTTTTTTTTCTGCAAAAATTAAGACAGGGATTCAGAAACCAACCTGGAGTTACTTTATGAACAATGGTTAATGATAGAAAACCAGGAGGAGCAAACTCAGGTTGACCAACATCAGTATCCAAATAAGCTACTTTGGCGTATTTGTGCAAGAGGATATTTAGGAGATGGCGGGAAAAGGTTGTCTTTCCACAATTCTTGGCACCACATATAAGAGCAATAGGAGGTGTTGAACTGTAAGCAATGGACTCTGCAGCCTCTGACCATTGCTCCGGAATGTATATATCCCGTGAAAGAGAAGAATCCATTAACGAAACTTGATTCCGATTGGAACTAAATATGAAGAAAATACGAACGAAATTAACATTAATGAGAAGGAGAGAACCTCTGCAGGAGCTTAATTTCGATTGGTGACGCAGAAGAGAATTTGAATGCGAGCGAGCGTTCAACGTGGATTGTGATTCAGATAACGAACCGGAATAGAATTCACAAAGGGGTTTAGTTAGGGTTTTATGGTCCAAGAAAAATAAGACCTTTCCGAAACAAACAATATACTGTTAACTATTTCTATGATTGATAAATCGTAATCGATTTTTTCAATATATATATAATTATTTGTAATTAAATTTGAAATAAGTAAACATGTTAGATAAAATTACACTTCTACTATTTTACTTATTTATATATTTGGTTAGGGTAAAGAATTTCAAATAAAATGATTAGAAGTTAGTGTATTTAACAAAAAGCAAATGTAAATAGCTGGAGCCCAATGAAAAATAAAAAAGCCCATTATATAAAACCCAATATTTTTTTGTTATTTTTTTATCTTATTCGAAAAAAACAATAATATTTTTTATTTCCGAAAATGAATTAAAGTTCCCTCCCGCGAATGTTCCCTCTCATTCATGGCGCGCACACTCTCCCATCAAATATATTTCTTCCCTCCTCTTTCCTTCGCTCCCTAACCCAAATCAAATCCCTAATCCATTTTCTCTTCTTCTTTATCTTCTTCGGTTCTTATACTCTCGATGGCAATGGAAACTCCAAGCTCTCGCTCTCTTTTCACTCACGTCTCCTCCAGAGAACTCTTCCGAGGTTTTTCTCTGTCGAACTTAGTTTTCACTGGAAAACTCTAACGTTGTTTCTCACTCTCTTTCTATGTTCGCAGTTCGAAAACGACCGCGTATGGACGGATTCGTTTCTGCCTTCAATGAAACCGGAACGCTCGCCGTTCATCACAACGCCGAAGACACCATTCCCCTTTGTCTCTCATTCGGCAACGTACTCACATTCATAAACCCTTCGCTTTCACTATATATAGCTTCTTTCAGTGTTTTGTAAAACGTTTTGCAACAGAGATTATGGCCACATCGTCGCAGATTTTGCAGCCAAGTCGTCACCAGTTGCATTTGTCCCAAATTTGTAGCGATTTTCACTGCATTGTTAGTGTGTGTTTGTGTTAACTTTTGAAACTTTGCATGATGTCAAAATAATGAAAAATACGCGAAGTAGCTTCAGCTGGATTGTGTAATATGGATTCAAGTTTGATTTGATCCAACGCGAAATTGAACATGCATTTAAGGAGTAGTGGTGACATTAGTTCCATTCATCCGCTGTTTATTTGTACTTTGAATGCAGTGTTAAGGTTTCTGAAGTAATTTCAACCTCAATGTTGGCTGCATTGGTCTCATTTGTCTGCAATTTAATAGGATTTTGAGTACAGTGTTGAGGTTCTTGATGTCATTGCGATCGCAATTGTGGCTTCATCTGCTGCATTTGTCCACAATTAATAGGATTTTGACTACAGGGTTAAGGTTTTTGAAGTCATTGTGTTTGCAATTGGGGCTGTATTGGTTACATTTTTACTATAATTTTGACAATATTTTAAGTTTTTGAAGTTACCGTGACTGTAACTACAGCTGCATTGGCTGCAATATCAATCGTTGTGGTGAAACTGCAACTGTAATCGCAATCAAAATATTGGCTCCTTCCTTAATTATTTATTGTTTTCTCGCAGACTGCAAAATTTGCGCACATTCTTGCTGTGTCTGATGAAGACGGTTATGTTAGCTTGTTTGATACTCGTCGCAAGTTCCCTGTTACCGCAAACTTTGAAGAAAACACAGGTCCTTTTTCTTATTTATTTTTCGTTTGTTACGGATTTTTATGATGAAATAATCATAAGAAGTAGCAGAGTTTTGTGGCCGGTTGTGTGAAAATTTGCCCTGTTTTACTCTCAGAAAAAGTGAAGATCTGCGATTGGGTTTCGCATCAGAATGCTGTTTTTGATACCTGTTGGATTAAGGTACCCGCAATTCATATATTTTTGTAATTCATTTGGTAAATTATTAGTTTGAGCTGTTTATTTCTAGTGTTTTGTGTATGACTTGAAATGGTTTGTAATGATTTTTCAGGAAGATACGCAGATTCTCACTGCATCTGGTGATCAAACTGTAAGTAACTGTGTTGCGTATGCACAGAGCAGTCGTTGATTATTAGCACAGGATTTAATCACAGAACTTCTTGACTGGATTTAGATCAAATTAAGTCTATACAGATACTGATTTAATGTAACTGAGTTAGAATAGGATAAATTTTTGAGATCTTTGTATAAACGGATGTAGTATTTAATAAGTAGTTTTTCTTCAAGATAGTTTTGTTTTGAATGTTCTTGCGGTGTATGTTTGCAGATAAAATTATGGGATGTTCAAGAACATAAGTGTCTTGGTGTGTTGACTGGACACACGGGAAGTGTGAAATCTATGTGTCCTCATCCAACTAATTCTGGTGATGTTTCATTTTACGCTCATCTCTGCGTTTATGCTTAAACTATGGATTTTTTTTATTACTGCAGAGCGATTAATTAGCTATTAATATTCATTTTATATTAAATTTTCCAGATATTATTGTCTCTGGTTCTAGAGATGGATCCTTCCGTATTTGGGACTTGAGATGCAAGTCCGTTGCTAACAGTAGGCAAGGAGAAGTTGGCATATAGTAAGTGACTTTTAAAAAAAAAATTTTAAAAACTCCTGTAGTGATTGAATTTTTGTTCTTTAGACGTTTTGAAATTTATATCTATTTAAAAATTTATTATTGCTTTGTTAGTTCAATGAGTGGTGTCAATGGAGCGCATATTTCATCTCAAGCACGACGAACTAGGAGGGGAAAGGTCAGTTGCTGATGGATTTAGGTTTCTTCTTATTCTGCAAACTTACACTTTTCTAACAATTCCTATTTGTCAGGCTGCTTCCATGAGCATTACATCTGTTCTATGTCTCAAGGACCAGGTTTCCGTAGCCACTGCTGGGGCAGTAGACAGGTTAGTTGGAAAAATTACTTGTCGAAGTAAACATTTAATTCTCCAATGATTTTACCTGAATTAATTTATTTGACAAACAAATTGGTTTATTTCAGCGTGTTAAAGTTTTGGGATACAAGAAATTTAAAATGTAGTGTCGCTCAGACATGTCCTTGTCCTCAGTCTACTGAAAAGGTTGGTTGGAACTTTGCTCTAAAGGAATAGTATATTTCTTTAAAATGTAAACGTGTTCGGAAATGGAAGGTGTATGATGCCTTTCATTTCTTTCAGTATTAAAATGTAAACGTGATAGAGTCTCTTGACAGTATTCTTCATTGTCATTTCAGCAAAGTTTGCACGGAATATCTAGCTTGTCTCAAGATGAAAGTGGAATTTTTCTTTCGGCATCCTGCATGGATAACCGGTATCATCCTTTGATAGTGTGTATTTTTCATTTTCCTGGGTTAAGAATATACAGCGAAATATCAAATCTACTCTTTTTGCAGAATATATTTGTACAACACTCTTCAACTTGAAAAAGGGCCTTTAAAATCGTTTTCTGGGTGCCGAATTGAATCATTTTTTGTAAAGGTGAGAATTGCACCTGTATTCCAAATTCTCTGCATTCAGTTTCTGTTTTAATTCCTGACTTTGTCTGATGTGTGTACTTTCAGTCTGCAATTAGCCCTGATGCATCGAACATAGTCAGTGGTTCTAGTGATGGAAATGCCTATGTTTGGAAGGTTACATTTCTCACTTATAATTTAAAATTAGATAGTAAGTGTGAGACATATTTTGCAGTTCGGATATAATTTCTCTGAACTTTCAAAATTCAGGTTGACAAGCCTCTGGAAGATCCTACTGTTTTGAAAACACATGATGGTGAAGTTACAGCAGTTAACTGGTAATTTGGAAAGCTGGTGTGTGGTTCTAGTTCTCTTTAATATTCGTTACTAACATCATTTATTTTACAGGTGTAGCTCTGATATTGGCAAATTTGCAACTTGTTCTGATGACTTTACAGTAAGCGAATCCTACTGTTTTCTTATTTATTTAACCTCTAATTTGTTTGACTATAAACCAGAGATTGTGGCTATCATTTGCAATTCCATTGGTTTAAAATACCTCATTGTTTCTTTCAGCATTCTAATTTCTCTCAATATGCCATTTTCAGGTTCGGATATGGAATAAAAACAGTTACGTCTCGAGGACACAATGTGCATCTGTCATTCGAAGAAGAGTAATGGCAATTCCTAATACAGAGTGCAAAATGCTTTTAAATAATGGAAAAAAATACCCTAAAACAAATGAAGATGTTGTTTTACCCGATCATACACTACACCCAATTTCCTCACCCACTCCAATCACACCACCTAAAATGAACATATCTGAAGGCCACAGGAACCAACTTTCCTCAGGTTTCGATTCGAATGCGCCATCTCAAAAAACCCCTGAATCTGCTTTGAAGAGTCCCTCGTCTGTATTGAACCCTCCTTCCTCCCTAAAAAGGACTATTCGAGACTACTTTTCAGCTTCTCCTAAAATCATGTAGGCTTGTTAAAGCAACGAAATTCCGTGATCAAGTAACAAAATTTTTGCACATAATGTTTTCATGGTTGGAATTTCTTTAGCCATGTCTTGGGGTAAGCTTTCTGAGGATTATACATCTCTTTATTAGCAGATGTAATCATGATCTAAAGAATTTGTTATTGTCTCCACAGGTTGTTTGAAATGTAAAAGCACATAAAAGTATTCGTTATAGTAACTTTGTTTTATACTCCAAATTTAGATCAAGCTGAGTGTAAATGGCTGAAAACATGAAAAGCTGGACAAATGATTGCTTCTGCTTATTTGCAGAGAGACAATTAGACAAACGTAGTTTGTTTGTATTTTTACTGAATGTGCATATGAAACCTGCTATCAGGTTTTACCCAATATAATTACGCCAAAATTTGATGTCTCAAACACCTAATTTGATGTACATTAGAGAGCAAATTCAATGGAAAGCATAGCTAGAAATAGGGTGCTCTTAACATTGGCGTTGAGCTAATGGCTCTTTGCACAGTGAGTGACTATTGATTCAATGCAACACATGGAATCACTGATTTCTTTTTTCTCGTAAATAAACCTATGACAAATGATTAACGCGATGCTTGTGAAATATGGAAAAAACTCGTCCATGATGTCTTTCTTCGAATGATCGAAGTGCGCTTGTCATTTATACAATTCTCTAGTAACAACAATGAGATTTATTTCAGTTTACTTTTTTCAGTGTACTGAAATGTAAACGATAATTCTTTGTGAATGCTACACATTTGTTTGGCACCTCAGGAAAAATAATAGAAACAAAGTACAAATATAACTGAGAATAATTTTGTTTGTTTACAGTCAAATGATAATTACAATTTTAGACATTAAAACATCATATAAGTAAAGAAAAAAAATCTTCTAAAACTAATATAGGTGCAAAGGAAGTTCTAAAGTTGCTGAAACATTATCACTATCAACAGTTTTTCAAAACCTAGATACAAGACAAATTTATATATTTTACACGTGGGAGAACACGATTCTGTGAGAGCAAAGACACTCCGAGTTAAGTTTGTTGAATTCTGAGTTACAGTCACACCACTTGATATAACATTACTGATTAATGTATAGCTCTTGTTTCACAATGGAATAGCATCCAATAAGACTTGTTGGTTCCACTATGAATTGTTCATGAAATGTGCCCATTCTTTTGCTAGCAATATCAATTCCAAGATCCTTGAAGTTTGGCAACCCCTCTACTTGAATGCCATCTCCACATATGAGGAACTGGTTTCCAATTATAAAGGATCCTGATACTCTGATTGCAACTCCATCTTCACCATAAGCACGGCACTGAAGCTTCTCAACAACATGCACCAACTTTTCAGGAGGCCACTCACCAACCAAAGTAGCTCTAATACTTGATAGAGATGTAAAGATGTTGCTTGGACCACAATGCTGTTTCTCAGAGAAACTACAAAATATAGAAGGATAATGTTATTGTTAGTGATTGAGATCTAGAGAAAAAATTGGAATCAAGTTAATAAAATGTCATCATCCTTTTTTATATTATAAAATTAACCATGATCTACATAACTTGAACAAACCCTTGATATAATGGAAATTCCAGAAATCAATTTACTCAATTATGTTCCATTTCATATGCATATGCATACCATAGGTAATTAACAAAAAATTCTACCCTTACAATAGCAAGTTGCTCTCATGCAAATTGTTTCTATTGGATTTAATTTAATCATAGTAAAAGCAGAGTAAAGTGTTACAAATGACAAATTTTCTTGATCGAGAGATAAAACATATAAGACAGAACACACCTGAAAATCGAGCTTTCGCTGTATAAGTTCCTTGTATGTTGCCACAGATCATCAGGTCCATCAAATAGCAAGTAATAATGTATTGTCAACATCTGAAGAGGAAAAAAAGAAATATTATGACATTAAGTACAAATTGCAACCTCTCTAAAATGTTGATTGACATAAAAGTGAACACAGCAAAAACAGTATCCATGCAAAACAAGCAAAAGAAATCTAACTTTCTTCATTGAGAATTCAAATGAATGCTTGGGAGATAAAAAGAGCTTGTCATTTCATTCAGACATAGTTCGCAAGAAGGCCTAAAATGGCCACTCATTGTTTTATGTTTTTTAATCGCACAAGGAATAAAATAAGTATGTCAGTTATAATAGATAAAGATTCTGGCAGTCACTTACATCTGCTAAGTCCTTCATTCTTTGTGTAGGATCAAAAACGCTTCGAACATATCTTGCTAAATCTACCTTGGCATTCTCATACTTTGTGATAAAGGGGTGCAAAAGCAGCTGCATTAGGGCAACACATAATTATCAACTTCATACCATCACAATATCCAATGAGCATCTACAGATAAGATTGACTTGGTAAGCTGTATCACATTCTAGAGAAAACAATCTATTGTCCACTAGGAAAATATGCAAATTTCAGAAAGATAGTGAAAAAAATGCATGATCACCAACATATTTGTGTTTTGGGTATAATGCTACACAACATTCAACTTCAGCAGCCATAAAATTGCATTAGCATAGATGCTAGATAATATGGTTGTATCACATTAATGTTTATCTCATTTCTCTCACCTGCTCTGCTGTTGGCCTAGTATCTGGATCCTTTTGCAGGCAAGTATCAACAAAGGAGCAGAATTCTGGTGAAAACTTGTTTTTCGATGGTGATGGTGATGGATCATCCAGGATCTGTCACAAAACTAGGTATAATTAATTTCAGACAGAAGAATTACATGTGGGAAATCAGATTAATGATAGAATAAACATTCATGTAGAGTTAGGACATATTTCTATATCACTGATCATAAGTACCCATAAATTATATGTGAAAACTTGGGAGAAGTTATTTTGATTACATGATATGCGTTAAAACACATAGTATGGATTATCACATTCATCTGAAACTTATGGCATTATTACAATTTATGGATTTCTTCTCAGACAAACGTTTACATTCAATCAAACAAAAGAAAACAAATAACATCAATAAGTATTGCACACACACCTGCAACATAAGATTGACAGGACCTTCATTAGCAGTATATGGGAATTCTCCGGTCCCGCACTCAAGAAGAGCAAGACCAAGGCTCCAAATATCGGCCGGATAAGAATAGCTTTCATTTCGAATCCTCTCAGGTGACATGTATGTAACAGTTCCAACAAATGTAGCACACTGCAAAGGAGAAATTTCTTTTTCTATGAACATGAACTCTTCGACATGGTTGTAATAACAACCAAAGAATAAAATTGTTGACATTTGCAAACAATTTTATGGAAGCAATATGCAACAACATACTAAGACAGAGAGAATATACTAACCATTGCCACTGAATTCTCTAAGCCAGCACTAATACCAAAGTCAGTAATTTTTGGCTCTCCCTTCAGATTTACTAATAGATTTGCAGGCTTTATGTCTCTATGAACTAGATGTCTGACTCCATGCAGATAGCTTAGACCCTTCCAAAAGATAAAAGGACAAGTCACACATCTTAGAGTTTTCTAAAAGTAAAAACTGAAAAAAAAAAAAAAATACAGGATTATTCCCTACATGTAGGAGCTTCTGAAACATGAATGACAGTATAGGTTCAGGTATCCTTCTATGCATTCGCAAGATATCTGCTAGTGATCCTCCATCCATATACTCCAAAGCTATGCTTATCTGTCCAGAGTCTGGGGTGTAAAATGCTCCATGAAATTCGACAAGACCCTCATAACAGGGTGCTTCACATAATGTCCTTATCTCAGTAAGGAGCTGCTGCCTTTTCTCCTAATTAGCACAAAGAATTACAAACATTAAGCAAACAGGTGATAACAATAACTATTGCACATTGCTCTTTTATCAGTCTCACAAAAACAGGACTTAAACAGCAGGATAACAATGTATGATTTGATAGCTATTATAAAAAGAGTTCAATTTTCATGCACTATCAATGTAAAAAACTGTACATTTGTGTCAGCTAGCTAATTAGAAACCAAAAATGACTCTTAAAGTAACTATTACAAAAGTCAACAATTTTACCAAGTTAGACCAAATGGGATTGGATGACAGTGAAAAACATTTACACAGTATGCGCATTCTAATTAAATTGTTATAAAAAAAAAAACAACTTAAAAGTAACAAGAAAAGACATATAGTCCTACTACCCCACATGAGTTTCAAATTAAATTAGTAACCATGTGAGTTTTATAGTGAAACAACAAAAGCATCAAGGGCAAAAACTAATTACTACCTTCTCAAAGATATTGATCTTCTTCAATGCCAGAATCCTATGTGTTGGAATATGCATGGCTCTCTGCACAACACTGCTGGCACCACTCCCAATTGCTCCAAATATCCTCATCTCTTGGGAAGCACACTTATAAGTTTTCTCACTATGATCAGTTTCATCCAAAGACCTTGATGATGTGCACTTCTGCAATCCAAGCTCGTTGATATTGTACACCCCATATGATCTACTCAACAAGTTCACAGTTCCACCATCCGAAAACTTCTCAATTGAACCAATCAACCGAAACCCACAAAAACAATAATAAAAAACAAATAAATTAGACAAAACCATTGACTTTTCACCAAAATTAAGAATAAACACTATAGATTAGTGAGAGAGAGAGAGAGAGAGAGAGAGAGAGAGAGAGAGAGAAAGGATTACTGAGTAAGAATCACAAGGGTCCAAGGTTGAACTTGATGAGAAACCCTTCTCAGCGTCGAATAAAGGTGCAAGTTTTTTCCTCAATTCCTCCAACCCAGACATTGTTGTGAGGATTCACATGAAAATAAAGAAATTGAATGTGACCCTTTTGCAGTTCTAATCTAACGCGAAAAACCAAAAGGGGTTTCAGTTTCAACGTGCGATACCAGGTTTTTTAGTGGGTTGTTGGGGGTGGGAAGGAACACAACGTGTTCGTGAGATTCAAGGTAACGAGCGGTGTTAGCAACGTCACCTTACTCGAACCGGTGAATTTTTGTC